TTACTCATCGGGTTGTAATAGACGAAGGAGAACTTGATTTCTTAATTCAGGATTGTATTAAAGAGGGAACATATGCTAGTAGTGATAAATGTCTGCTTGGGTATATACTTACATATTACGAGGGTCATCAGCCTCAATATACACATTTGCGAGCCTCAATGTTAGCTTACGCCCATATAAACTTACTAGAAATGCTTCGAAGATTTGGCCCTAATAAAGTAGTAAAAATCGCAACAGATTCTATATATATACAGAGAGAGGTCTTATATAAGATCGAAAACGTATCTGCCTTCTTTAAGGAAGTTAAGCAAAAGATTAGCTATCCCAAAGATTCAGTAAATACTAGTAAATTTCTATGTCTACATGACTGGCATTTATATGCAGTGTGTAACAACCTATTGTTTATAGAATCAGTTAAAGTATTCCAAAAAACTAAAATGCCTTTAGTGGTAGGAGAATATTTTCCATGTAGCAAACATAAACCATTTGTTTGTCATGATTGCTTTTGGGATTAGTATGCTCATAAAGATTTTTGGGAAGTTATCTCTGATAAAAAGCCATCTAGCAATACTAGTATAGCCATTACTAAAATATCTGAATCTCTAAAAGAAAAAATTCTTTCAGAACCAATTAGAGAAATACAGCCTAAACAATGGTGTGATAAAGGAGAAAAAATTCATGGTTCAGATCCTAATGTTGTATACTGGCCAAAAAATAGGCATTGTGAATCGATTAAAGATATTACTGAAAGTACTGCTCCATCAATTCATGATCCTATTACAAGATCCTGAGTTTTTTATCTCAATGGAGGTGGTGGTTCTGGAAAGACAACGTGTGCAATTCGAATCTTCAAAGATATAAATATAGTTGTTTTCACCCATACAAATGTGCTAGCTAAAGATTTCCAAAATGACCGTAAAGTAAAAGCCCAAACTTGGTATAGCTTCTTTAGATAGAATAGTGTGGGAGAATGGACACCTGAACGTATGAGAGAAAAGAAATTTCCATGAGTTGTCATCTGGGACGAGGTATGCACAGTGCCTAGGCATATTCTCGAAATGTTTATTGACTACTTACTAGAGCAAAAATGTCAGGTAATCTGTTGCGGAGATGATGCTTAGCCTCCACTATTCTTCAGAGAAATGCCTCATAACTGGTTAAAAGAGCAAGCTGATTACTATGAGGAAGTCTTAACTGACTATCAGGCCAAATATTCTAGATTACAAGAGCTTAAGAAAAAAATGCGATGCCAAAATAACAGAGTGCAGTCAGACTTATTCCATGAAGCACTTCTGAATACAGAAAAATAGTAATATCTTGAAGCTGAATAGAAGCTATCAGATCATATCTTATCAGCATATATACTTTCCTGAAGAATTGCTTTCCAAAAATGCTTAAAAATTCATCAAGTAAAATATCCCGAAATTCTAATCCCATTAATTTATAGGCCAAAAGATGGATGCAAACAGAATTGCCTTGTTCAAATTCCTGGCTCATCTAAAAAGAAGGAGTTAGTAAAAAATGATATAATATATTTGCCCTTAAATACACTTCCTGACAAGTTCTTAAAAGATATATTAGTAGAT